GCTCTACCGCAACTTATTATGTGATCATAGATGATTTGCTTAACTTCTGGAGCCTGTTTCCTTATCAGCGAAATGAGAAAAAATAATAGAGTGGCTGGATTGTTACAAGTAGTCAGTGAGATATATCTTTGTAAACCCTGGTACATAACCTAGCTTTGGTAGAGGCTTAGCATATTGTCATTGTTGTCATTACCTTTGTTATATTTAACAGTAGTTTGTAAGAAAGAAAATCAGAGGAAGAAGACAAACATATTATTATAAACTGCATACTAAGAAAAAAAGGTAGGCGTTGATGAGAGGATTTTTAATGACCCATTGTATTAAAAGTGCTAGCAAAGTGAACTTTCCAAATACCTGGCCCTAGACGTCTCACCTCATCTCAAATTAATTTGGCCTCTAATATGGTGAAGCAGAGTGAAGTAATCACCCTCTAATGTTGCATGTTTTTCTAAAAGGAAGAAGTAAATGAATTTCCAATGAGCTGGCTAAAACTGAAATCAGTAAATCAATGTAATCAGTCAGTCAACTAGCCAGCCAATCCAACAACGAAACAGTTCCCATAACTCTGAGGTTAGTGGAACGTCAGAAGATAGATTTGAGTCCTTTCTTTCATTTCTAACAAGACACCTAAGGCCTCTGAGCCTCAATTTCTTCAACCATACATGGAGTCAATACTTCTCTTGTAACGTTGGTATAAGAATCAAGTCAGACAGTGTATGAAAGCTCTTTGTAAACAGTAAATCACTTTACAAATGTAACATTACTTCCTTACGTTAAAATCATCGTTTACCATTTATTATGTCCTTTCAAATCACATCCTACATCCTCTTACTAGTTTTTTGGCCAGTACTTTATAAAACTCTGGAGTCCGACACTGAGAGTGACAGTATAGTCAAATAATTTTATGATTCAGATTGGGAATCTCCTACTTTATAACCCATTAGCTCTTGTGGTCAGCAAATTCTAAGCTTAAGATTCACATCTTAGATGTTTATAAAACGTTGAACCTTGAAGTAGCCATCATCTTCTGTAAACATATTTTGAAACCAGTACAGAATATATGAAGACAATCAAATTTGTTACAAGTCTTTTCTGAACCTGGCTAGTATAGCACATGAAGATGGATTTCACAGTTATACATCTACAGAGGAGTGTTTAGAGATTAAGATGAAAGTAGTCCTCCTTATTAATTACACATTGTATATTTGACTTCTGCCTCTCTCCTCAGCCTTGAAATCAACTACATCTGGTTTTTGCTACTTCAGTGTGCCATTACCTTTTGCATTAAAAAGCAGTTACTCTTAGAGCAGCCTCATTTGATTAAAAAATAATTAGCCAGAGTTAGGTTCATGTTACTCATCATGGCAGCCCAAATAAGAATTTTAGGATAGGTTGGAGACCTACTTTATTTCTACAACAGGGTCAGCAGAATTGGGAAGCTCTTTGTGATAAATACTGGCATGAAGCAGATATTTTGCTTTGCTGGTGTTAATTTTTACAGTTTTTTTTTTTTTAAAAAGCATAATAATACAGAATAGATGAATAGATAGTATCTAACAGAGATAGGACCACAAAGCAGCTGAACGTTGATATAATAGTCGCTCTATGCCAAAGGGTGTCCTCCTCTGTGGAGACTGGGGCACATGATTATTATTACACCCAGAGCAAATCAAAGTCTGGGAACTGACTCCACTAACCAACTGAATAAGAAATTGATATGTAATTATCAAGCACATCTGTATTAGAGCTCACTGATTAGTGAACTTTCTCTCAGGAGAGAAATCTGCATAGGAAACCAAGTTGTTATTTGAAATTTCTTGGTAACCAGGGAATCTGGCATAGAATAATTTGATGGTCTAAATCACTTTTACTCAAGGAAATTGCCATTTTGTGAACAAGGTAAGAAGCTAGGACCAGAATGTAAATTAAAGCATTGGAGCATTACTTTCTTTATATATATATATATATATATATATATATATATATATACATACATACATACATACACAGACACACACACACACACACATGCATATACAAACACACACATACACACACACACATACATACACACACCAGTGTGCTTAGCAACATAGATAATTTGCATTCTGCTATAATTTTCTTATCTCATAGAAGACTGTTCATAAATAGTTCTGATATAGGCAGTTATTCTATGGACCACACTTTGAGAAGCATTGCTCTTTGCCTGAATCAGAATTACGCTAGGAAGTTTTAAAAATATATAGTTTCCTAGTACATACCCTTGAAAATTCTGATTCAAAGTTCTGGTGTGTTGCACCTCCATCTGCATTTTTAAAATGTTCCCCATGCAGTTTGGATAAACACACAAGGTTTAGGACCTATGTAATAAAATGCATAGGGTAATTGAGTAGTGTTTAAGATGAAAAGGTTAGAGGTTAAAAACCTGGGTTTTGGCACTGGGGGTGCCAAATTCTTGTTTGTTCTTGAGCAAGTTGTGGATTTTCTAAGCCTCGGTAGTCTTACCTATAAACGGCTATAACAATACCTACCATATAAAGTTGTTGTGAGATTTAAGCACTTTTGTGAAAGGAAAGCACTTAGCTCAGTGCCTGCCACATGGTAGACAGTGGATAAATGTCAGCTATAAATGGTAGGTATCATCTCCATGATGGAGACTTATCTGCCATTTTTGAGAATATACACATTTATATTAAGCCCCAAATTCCCTGGATAAGCAAGGAACATACTGCTAATGTGTGCCTGTCTGAGGCTTCCTTTGCTAAGCATCCATCAGATTTATCAGTCAAGACTTTTTTGGTTTTGTTAGAAACTAAATCAATGTGATTGACGCAAAAGAAAAAAAAAAGTGGGCTGCTCAAGGGGACATCACAGAATTTATAACAATGTCCAAGGGTGGATCTGGCTAAAAACATGACAGGACGGAGGTGCTCTAAAAGTATCCTTCTATCTGTATCACCTGGCTATCTGACTACCTACCTACGTATCTATCTTTCTGACTTAGCCTCATTCTTAGACTGGCTCTAGTTTTGTGATGGCAAAATGGGGCATCAACAGTGTCAGGCATATATGTTACCAGCTTACCACAGAGGAAAAGGAAGTTCTTTTGTAGGCTAGTTAGACAAAATTGCATAACTGAGACTTACTGGCCTTGCTTACAGTACCTTTCCATTCTTGAACAATTTATTCTCTCTAAGCAGGAGCAGAGCATTCTGGATTGTCAGGCTCAAACATGTACCTAACCCTGAAGTTAGGGTGGGACAACTCCACCCAAAGCATTTGTTCTGAAGGAGGAAAAGACAATTTCCCAAAAGAAAGTTAAGGGAAGTTATTTAGAAAAGAGGGAACATATGATGCAGAATCTAAAACAATAGATGTCTGTTACTCCAACCCACCCTCCTTTCCCCAACTCTTCCACTGTTGTTAAAATATGTTAGTTCAGTTGGAATAAAGCCAAGATTAAATTTACCCTAGAGACCTTAAGTTTTGTTAAGATAATTTCCAGATATGTGTTCTAATCTATTTTGTATTTGTTTTAGAATAAATTCTTGTGAGTTGAAACTTTCCCCCTACTTCTAATTTGGGAAGGGGACTTGAAAGGTTGAAGGGGAGTTACCTTACATTGACCAAGAACAAAGTCAGAACTTATTAATAACAATATGAGTTTGATTCTGACCTTTCATTTTCTTTAGCTTGGGACAGATTCATGTTTGATGAATAGAAATAAGCAAGAAATGTTGTTAGAAGGTGAACTGCCAAAGTTACAAAGAAGAATTTAGTTTTAAGCTATGTTTATTACATGACAATAGTGTTACTATAGATTATAAAATAGTGGATGTATTTTGGTTCACTAAATCAGTAAAAATCACGTAGCTGTTAATAATTTGGAACCCAGCTTATGAAGCACGACTTGGCAGAACTATCAAGTGGTTAGCAGTGTTGGTATGAAAGTTAAGGACTTCAGCACTCAAATCCAAGTCTGGCTGTTTTTGTGGTGTGTGGCCTTGGACCGGACTTCTCTGGGATGCAGTTTCCCCTTATGTGTAATTGGGTAATAAAATGTAGTCACCACACAGTTGTGGGGGAGAATTAAGTGCACTGACAGGGAAGTGCAGGCTTCTTTCTGTATTTTTCAAGCATATGAAAAATATGCTCAGTTTTATTCTCCCAAGTGCCTAACGGGCTCCCTCATAGTAAGTCACTTAATAATTCTGCTTGCCCCCTATGGTACCATTTATTTTACAACCATAGTATTCTCTAAGATGGCACCGTAAAGGACTAAACATTCCCCAAGGCAAGAAGGGCAAATGCTGCTTTATGGACCATATTTTCAGTGCCTTTTTTTGAGCTGGCAAAGGAGCACTGAGCATAGTTTTAGCTAGCTCTGAGGTTCTGCAGCTCATTTGATATGCTGTTGCCTATACGTTAAGATTCCCTTAAAGGCTCGTGTTTTGGGTATCTGCCCCCCTCCCCCTCCTTGTCCCATTTCCCTAACCCAGCATGGTCTTTTATTTTTCATTACAGAGGAGGCTGAATATTTCTCAGAGATAAGTGTTCAATATGGTATAATGAAAAGACCAGAGAACCAAGATTTAGATTTAAATTGTTGTGCTAACTCTGCTGAATTTTTGCTGGTGACCTTAGGCTCATCGTTGACCTTCTCTAATTGTTTCCTCAGCTATAAAATAAAAAGAACAGTGAGGTCATCTGTGCTTAACTCTCTATCTTTGCTGTAAGGGTTAAATTAGAAAGCACTATCCAAGTGTGAATTTTCATTGTGATTGTGTTGATTATATATGTGCATCAGTATATTACGGGTTTGTTAGCAACTGTGTTCCTGTGTGCTCTGCTCTCATTTCCCCAGCTCCCAGAGATGCTGAGGATTCCTGCCAGATGGCTGATTTGCCAGCTGTGTCTTGTTTTATCATTGTAAATATTACATGCTTCAACTGAAAGACTTTGCTTATAATGTAGTATGTTTTGTCCTTTATCTCTTGCAGATTGAGAATTACATTGTGGAAAATATGAAGTCGGAGATGGCTCAGATACAGCAGAATGCAGTTCAGAACCACACAGCCACCATGCTTGAGATAGGGACCAGCCTCCTCTCTCAGACGGCAGAGCAGACCAGAAAGCTGACAGATGTTGAGACCCAGGTACACCCCTGAGCCAGAGTCGTCAAACTCTTAACCCAGATGATTTTTTTTCCTTTAACTTACTCCATAAACACAGAGCACATTTCAGCACTGGGATTGGGGAAACATACACATTTTTGTTTATTGGTAATAACAACAATGACTGCCTGACATGCTATGCATGTTTCTTTTGATTTCATGAGAGTTGGTATATTTAGCTTTGTATGTGCTTGCAAAAACAGGACTAGGACTGTTTGTATGTGCTTCCAAAAACAGGCAAAGGACTTAATCAGCATTTAAATTTCAAATAAACACTTCAGCTACCAACTGTGATATGATATATGTCAAACAGAATAACCATTTGTGTCAAATTGGTGCCTTTGATGTACATTTTTGACCTGTCCTGTTTTATCTCCAGTAGTACTCTAACAGTAATGGCACCTGCAGGGGTTTTGTGCAGTCAGTGGATAGGAAGGAAAACCCAAATAAACTGATCTGGAATGTGCAGGTTTTATTTTTATTCAGCATGATTTTATAATGAGAAGTCAATTAAAACTCTTCGTGTACATGCATATATATATATATATATATATATATATATATATATATATATATATATAAAATTACCCTACTCTGGACAATGATATTTTTATGTACAAATCAGTAAAGTGCCTTTTAATTATCACTGTCACAAGCCTACCATTACAGTTTAATGAAAATATTATTTTTGATGACTGGAAGATGATCTCTTGGTCCCCTTTTAACCATGGAAATGGTTATTCCTGTTACCATTCTGAAATCCAGAGGATGATTCTGTCTCAATGTAATAGTTGATTTCTGGAATCAAAGGTGAAGTATATTGTTAAAAGATAAACTGAGGCACGTTAAAATTTTCAAGAGTTTGAGTGAACATTGATTCAAATTGGGCAGCACCTAACAAAGTATTTAGCTCTACTGCAGGAGCTAAGGGAAAAGTTTTAATAGAGAAGATGCAGAAGCAAAGCAAGGAAATTATTTGATTGGCTGTAGCTTAAGCAGTTGCCTTATTTGGGAAAGCCTAGTTGGCTGTTTGTGGTAGGTTGTTCTTAAGTTTTACTTTCTTAGATTCAAGTGCATTGAGTCTGGCTTAAATTTTGCTTTGCTTATGTAGGTTACCAAGACATTAAAGCCATCTCTAATGGCCTTTAATGTTTAACTCTTTTAACAGTATAAATTCAAAAATAATATGCACCCTTATTTCTATTTTGTGTCATTTGTGTTAATGGCATCACATAGATCAAATGTTGATATTTAAAGAGACATAACGATAATAATTTACATGGATAGAGCATTTTATATTATGCAAACCACTTTCCAATGGACAAATGATGTTTGTGAAGACTATTTAGAACATAAAGTTTGAATGATTTTCTCACATTGATACAGCTAGTGAATTGAATTTGGTACTCAAAATGATTCATACTCATTTCTTTCTCTGTCCTCCTTGATTAGTAATACTAATAATTATCTAATTGAATAAGAGCTTAAATGTGGATCACATTGGAACAATAAATCACATAGACTTTGGAAAATAATTTTTGTTGCACACTATCATCAGATAGTTATGGGGGATGAGGAAGGGAAAATTACGTATTATAACTAAAAATTATGAGACTGTGTAATCTATTATCATCACACTGAGCAAGCTTGTTGATCTATGAACCAAGCTTGCTCAGTGGTGTGAAGCTTCTTGTGGTATGAATAATGTGTGTCCTCTCTTATTACTAGAACTGAATGCTCACCATCTCCTCCAAAGCATACTATATATTCAAGGACTGAAATACACAATTAATATTACCCTACTTGGCTGAACATTTGAAATTTTTATGCATTTCTTTTACAAGTTTTATGACATACATGGCAGCGTTTTGTTTCATTTTTTTCCATCCCCCAAATTGAGTTGTTTTTGTTCTCTTTCCAACTGGGAATTGAAGTTGTTGGGGAAAAAAATCCCATTGTCAGCATACCAATCTCCAAACTGTTAAGATGCATTATGCTATCTAAAATTTTAAGAGATAACAACTTGTTCTGCATCCTTAAGGCTAAGAGATGTGTACTTTATGGACAATAGCACAGAAAATTCATAGAAAATAAACCTATTCCCTACATAGAGCAGCTAAAGTTGAATAGTCATTAAAGGCCAATGAAAATTTATTAGATGCTCCAAGAAGAATTTTAATATAGCTGAAACCTGGAAAACATCTCAAAAATCACAAATCCATCAGAACTTGCAACGAGAGGAAGGTGGAGATAGATTGTCTGACAGTGGCTCGGACAAACTAGGTCCTACCTTAAGAGTGAATCCTGAGTGTTCTTTTCATCTTCATTTTAATATCTTCTAATCGTCTCTGCTCTTCAAAGCTGTGATGCTCCAACCCTTTTTCATGTGAACGTGTGTCCACGAGGTGCTTATTTGAACCTTTGCAGCAGTACATCATCTACTTAGACCTAATCATTCAAGCGCACTCAAGTTCTGATGCAAGGCCAAGTTCACAAAGTGAATCCTGGATTATTCCTTAATCTCAAAATGCTCTAGTCTTTAATAATAAGCATTTATAAACCAATAGATCCTTTAGGGCTATCCAGGCATGCTCCCACGTTTTTCCTCCCATATTCATTCTACTTTGTTTCTCGTTGGTAAGTGCTGCTTTTCCTAAACTGATTTCAGGTCCTCAGTTATTTTAGGAACTCATGCCAGTGGTTTTGCAGTATATTTTAGTGCCCTAGCTTTCACATGATGTTGTTATAAAGATAAGTAACTTATTGCTTTCTAGTCTTCTGCTGACCTTCTTGACTTGAATTTAACAAAAGGTGGTAGAGCCTTAGTTTTATTGCAGTGGCACTTAAAAATATTCTTGTGCCCAATAGGCATCATGATCAGAAAAGAGACAGAGAATATCTAAGTAACCCTGCTGGTCATGGTGGTGAGATCAGGAACCAGCACTGGGCCTATTCCTTCCTCCTTAGTTCAGCTTGCAGTGTTTTTCTTACTCTCTTATCAGTTCATACCAATATCTCCTCTCCTTCCAGTTCCTCTTTCCAAGTGTGCAGTAAGAAGGGCTTAGTTTCAGACATTATTCATGTCCCTTCCTGTAGTGTGAATCTATTTCTGACTTCTTCCTCAGGCCAGTTTTCATTAGAGGTACACTAGTAGACAAAAAAATGACATTAAAATTTACCTCTAATAATCTGAGCTTGACTCTTTTTAAAGCAATTTTACATTTATTAGCTTTTTAATAATTTTTTAAAAACTTGATGGGGTATAGGTACTGTTATCATCCCGTGTTTAAAAATGTGGAAACTGAAACTCAGAGAGGTAAAGCAACTTTCTCCAGGTGAAAATACTAGTAAATGTTAGAGGGAAGATTTGAACCCAGGCAGTCTGGCATGAGTCTACATGCTTTACCAGCTCTCTATCTGTACTGCCTCCCTCTTGTGATTCCTTTCTCTCTCAAAGGCTGCAGACACAATTTGGGTCCAAGCACAGGATAAAATGGAAATAAGATAAAGCAAATTAATGTGGGCCTAATAGTAGCAACTGAATGTTTTTTATAAATGATGAAGATGCAGCTGCTGCTGAAGGTACCACTAGCTATTGGCATTTTACCATGTGTCTGCACATCATTTCATGTAATCCTAGCATCCATTGTTGTCCTTGCTGCTTGCTGGCTGTGTAACTGTAGGGAGGTTCTATAGACACTGAGCTTACATTTCCTTCAACTTCCAATGATTTATATGGAGCCATAGTGTTAGAAATAGAATTTAATAAAAATTTTAAAGATATATTTTGAGTACCTCCTTGATGCAAGGTATTTTAATAGGTACTAAATAGAATACAACAATAAGTAAAAGTCTTTATCTTCAGTGAGCTTGAGTTAATGTGACAAAACTTTTCTAAACCATTTCTTTCTTGACTTTCCATCAAGTTAATTAGCTATGGAACCTTTCCCCACAGTTTATAACAATGCATCTTTCCGGTCTCCTACTGTGGGGTGGCGGGGGTGTAATAGACCAATGGTCCCAGCTGCTGTGCTCTGAAATCCATCACTGTTGGTACAGAGACCACAATTCTCAAGGGGCCACTTCCAGCCAATGACACATTGTGGCAGTGATACTTAGACCCATTCCTGGGAACTGCAGGACTCCACTGACACATGACTTGGCTAAGGGCTCTCCATCAGCCTTGCCAAACTTTTGCACAACTTCCCTGCAGGCTAAAACTTCCAGTTAGCCTTACTCCCTTCCCTCTTTTCTTCACTGTGGTTCGATCTACATCCCAGTCAGAAGGTGACCCTAGCCAACTCTGGCTTTTTCCCAATTTTCTCTCACAGGCATGTCCCCTAATAAATTTCCTGCAAGTCTAATTCATCATCTGCTTCTTAGAGGTCACAAACTATCACACCTGTTGTTTGGACTTGAATCATACAATTATAAATTTAAGGCAGTCCAGGAACAATTTAATGAATGAGATTCAATCTCTAGGTGGAAACAGGTTTGAAAGGACAGAAAGGGCACCTCTCAAAGTTGAGGCACTATCTCTTTAACTTGATGAGAGGATAGTTGAATAAATATTTAACTTTGGCCTAATTGAAATGGCGGTAAAATAAATTTGCTAAAGGTCATCCAAGGAAAATACCCTGGCAATCAGTTTTCTCAAAAGGTCTGGAAAAAGTGTTTGATAACCCATTAGGAGAGAGCCCAGTGAACCATGATCCATAGGTCAAGTTCGAAATGCCATCTTTTTTTGTTAATAAAGTTTTATATGTTGTATATGGGGGTGCTTTCTCAATAAAACAGCAGAATTGAGTAGTTGCACCAGAGCCTGCCAAGACTAAGATATTTACTATATGGCCCTTTACAGAAAAAGCTGGCTAACCCCTGCACCAAGAAACAAACTTCTAAAGAGCAAGGAGTTTGTCTGTCTTGCTTACTGTTCAATCCTTAGGATTTAAAACAGTACTTGGTACACAGTAGGCTCTCAA